GAGTTACAGGAGTGTCTTCAGGGAGGACTATTCCAGATCCTGGGCTGGTTCTTCCACACAAGTTAAACTCATGTAGCCGGGGAGAGTAGTCTGTCCCTGCTGAGCTCATAGGCTGAGCTCTGTTTTTCTCTAATCTGTTCATGTCAAACTGAACTACTTCCCATTCAGGTCCTCTAAGAGGCATGAACCAACCTCCAGACGAAAAGGAATCTCAGGAGCCATCTGCAGGCATGAGGCAGATGCTAAAGGAACTGGAGAGACGACGAAGTGCGTTTCTTTTCCTCAGCCTGAGCCGTGAGACTCAGGTCTCCCGACAGCTCTGGTGTGGCAGCTGTTTGGAGGAGGGAGTGCCCTGACCCAGCCCCAAAAGCCCGGCTGTTTTCCTGGACCTTTTCCATGTCATTTATAAGTGTTGCCTCCTGAAGATGTCACTTCCCTTATGGAGAACAGCTCCATCTGATCCAGCTGTCCCTCTTGTTTCCCCCAGGGATGGACAAAGTGGCTCTGTGGAAGGCAGCATTCCCCGAAGGAAGCAGTGGCTCCGTGCCAGGCTCTGCTGACGGAAGGGAGGCGATGCCAGGCACGGGCACACGGGGTAATTGCTGTGTGTGCTCAGCCGGTGTGGGCCATCGGGGTGTCTGTGGCAGCAGCTCTTCCCCAGTGCCCGCTTGTGCCCATAACGACATGAACTTAGTGAGGGTTTGCTCTGTGTGCGGAGAGAGCCCTGAGGGGTCCTTGGCTGGTCCAGCCACTCCTCCAGGGATGTTGCACAGGGATGGGAAGAGTGTGGAGAGCGGCCAGGAGCCAGCCCAGAGCTGCCCAGGCCCCTCTGCAGCTCTGGCCATGTCCATTGACATCTGGCCCCCACAGAGCTCCTCGACCCCCCTGCAGTGCCACAGTTCTCTGAGGCACAAGGGGATCCCAGCATGCAATGGAAATGGTTCCCATCCCTGTTTGCTTCCAGATGGGGAGAATGACTTGGATTATCTGGAAGTTCTTGTGGATGATGCCTTGAATTTGCTGGAGGAACCTGGAGGCAAGTTCTCAATGTCCCTTTCCTGACAGAATAATCCCTGTCAGTGTGGCAAGAGCTCATTCAGGTGCCCTTTTCCTTAAGACCCTCTCGAGGTGGCTGCATTGTGACAATCTTGGCCTGCTCCGTTCTCAGGCCCAAGAGGGATCCCACAGGATCCCTGTCCGTGGGAGCAGGAAGGAGCATTTAGCTTTTAATCTCCT